GAGCAGGGCTTGCTTACCAGGGTATTACTTGGCTAGCAATAAAATAATGTCTTAAAAAAATATTTAGATAAAAAAGTTCATTTATAATATATTGATTCCTAGTTTGCTTGCCCCCCGAAATTTCTTTACAAAGCAAGCCCACTGCTCACCCCCTGCAGCCAACTGTCTAACGCACCCCAGGAACTACATCTTGGTGAAATGCAACCACTGCTTGGGATAACTGCACCACCCCCTGCTTGGGACAACCGCACCACCACGTCCCTGTGCAGGTAAAATACATCCATCCGCCCACTACGTTCAACCCATGGAATTCCATTACTTGATCAATCTCGTTTCTGCAATTTAAGTTAAAAATGCAAGAATTCTACAAAAACTATAGAAAAGGGTGTAAAATCTATTAGTTCTGATAAAATAAAATATGGATAAGAGTGTCTCCACAGACAGAGAAGTTAAATGAAATTACCAGAGTGAGACAGCCACAGGAATAGGAGAGTTAACTGAAGCGGCAAGACCGAGATAACCCAAAAATAGGGGAATTAACTGAAAATGCAAAAGTTAGACAATTATAAAACTGCAAAAGTTTTATGTCATAGGTGGATTGAGAAGTCTGTACCTTCCAAGTACCTCAGTCCACACGGAAAGGAAGAGGGTTACATGTGGCTGGGGAATTAGGATAAAGTGGAGACCCCCCAGGGGAATGCCCCAGCGGACTCTCCCTTTATTTGAATAAAGTCTTTGCAGGCATCTCCTTTGTGAACACTTACCTCTGGCTACAGGATTTTCTGCACAGTTCTAAGATGCTGAAGAAACTAACCTGAAACACCTCAATTCCTGTCTTACTTCTCCTCCTTTAAGGAGAAACACCCTCTGATAATGCAGTGTACAGGCCTGAAATTTGCTTTCAGAACTCTTCTTCAAGTAAAACATTTTTTGTCAATTTCTTCCCCAAAACTTAAACATTGGTCAAAAAATAAAGACATAATTGCCTTAGAAAAAGTAAATATATTGACTGCAATTATACAGTGTATTCAATGTCAAGATTAGATCACCCCACAGAAGCAGACACTCGCCTGGTGACACACAGCAGCTCCATGCAGTCACAGTTACCCTTGTGCTTTAATGGCTCCCAGAGACAAGTGAATTCTTAGAAACAACATATATTAAAATTAGTTTTGCATTTCGATCTTTAATAGTTTCAGTACCATGAAATTAATTCCTCCTTCTGTTGGGTTGATAAGATACCTAAGAAAAATGTAAAAAAGCTTCAGTGTCCTAAAGAGGCAGGAGCCTCTCCCAGCCAGGCTTGAGGAAATGGCTGCCAAGGGAAGGGAGCTGCTCCCCAGCCCGGCAGGCACCACACAGGAACACCAAAGGGGAAAGACTCACGTTGATACTATTTTTTGTTGGCAAAACAGAAATCATTTTCTACACTACTAGGGAAAAAACAAGGCTTGGCATTAGCTTATTCAGCAATTCTATCCAAGCAAGCCTGAGCAGTTGCTTTCACCAGTCACATTAGGGATATAATCCCCAAACTGGGACGTTGGCACTGTCTGGGGTGGCCTGGGCATGTCCCACACCATCAGTGCACGGGAAGATGTAGGAACACACTGTCACAGCACAGAGCTGGGCTGTGGGCAGAAGGTGCCACGCAGCGAGCCCTGTTCCTGTGAGACCTGGGGACACGGCCAGTCTGCCCAGAGGCTGAACGCTCACTCACAGCCATCCCTCCTTGGCATCTCGAGGGACAGCTCTGGGTGTGACACCGCAGGCTGGCTCCTGGGCAAGCAGCCACCCGTCCCTTCCAGCCACAGCCAGCCTGCCCGGCTGCAGGAGCACGGGGCTGGGCAAGCGCTGCCGGTACCTGGCACCGAGAGCCAGACCTCTGCCCTCAGACACAGCTCCCCCCTGCCCTTCACTCCCCGGGCAGTGCCAGCCCTGACCCACTGGGACGGGCTGGGAACCAGTGTGGGAAGTGCCATGTGCTGGGCTCAGGCAGCTGCTGCCAGCATCCTCCCAGGGCAAACAACAGACCGGGGAAACGCCAACCGAATGCCACCATCGGGCTGCGCTGGCTGAAACAGAGTCAGGAACACAGCGCTTGGATCCCTCCTCCATCTCCTCCAACCAAAAGAGAGCAACCAACTGCCAAGGTGCCAGCTCTGCTCCTGCCACCCAGCAGGAAAAGCAATAAGCACACATTTACCCACTGAAAATAGCCCTGACATTGCGCACGTGGAGGGCTGCTCAGGAAAGGACTTGTAAACTCATCTTGGAGATCACTGCGCTTTCAGGCACAGTCTGTTGCTCCAAGTATTTTCTCCAGAAAGTTAAACGAAAATTGAGAAACAGCCCAAGTGCCCCCAGGGCACAGAGTAACAACGCTGAGCTCAGGGCTTTGGATTTCACATCAAATTCATCACCTGTAGCGACAAGTGGGCGCTGATTCCTCCTGCACTACTTGGAAGTTACAAATTTGACTTTCAGTGTCAATCTACTAATACAACAATACTGATATACAAATAAAGTAATAAAGCAACAGTCTTATAGCAACAAAAGTAAATTTCAGAAGAAACATTTTAGTCACACAGAAACCTACTTTGGCATTTCACTGAATGTTTAAACTTGTACACAGTGAGAAAATGCAACCACAATGTGGAAATAAGATTTAGCTTTTTAAATGTCACTAACACAGCTCCATAAGCCAATTAATACACATTCAGCTCTCCACATTATGGAAGGAATCATAAGCTGGGCAGAGTTCTTTCCCATTATAGCATACTTAAGTAAACAGAAACAGACCAGACCTCCCATCTATAATTCTGAGCTTGGGCAAAGCAAAGCACCAGGTTCTGAGGGTGGAAAGCCCAGGCCAGGTGTCCTGGGCAAGTGGGGGTCTCCTGCAGTCACACCAGCAGTGTGCTGCCAAGGGACAAGGTCCTCCCCCCCAGAGCTGAGACCTGACCTCACTGGGCTCTCACGGAGAGAGGGAGCCAAGCCAGAGCTCAAAAGCAGCCATACTTCCCCTCAGATGGATATGACTCTGCAAATGTGCTTCCAAAGACAGCTTCCATCTCAAATGGCAACTAGAAACGTTCTTCTGAGTTGCCAGTGGATCAGTAACTGTAAAAAGGATTGATACCCAGTGATACAATTTGTTACTGGGTTCACCTACCTTTTTCTTGTCTTAGGGCCACCTTTCTACATAAACTTTACATGAGCCTAACCTAACATGCATTGAGAGAGACAGCTTAAACTGAAAAACTGTAAATAAAAGCATAAGCACTTGCTTCAAATGTTTTGAAGCAAAAAAAAAAGATGTATTTTATGTTGAGGCAGTTTGTTTAGAGAAAGAAAAACATAGCACAAAGTGACCCACAAAAATGCACGATACTATATTCTTCAGTTTCAAGAACTTTAGCATCGAAGGATACTGGATAACTGGGTGGGATGTGAGTGTTCACAATGAAGTTTTAGAAACCTGTGTTATTCTCAAATTAATCACATGTGTTCAGAAAGAATATTTAACATAATGGAAAAACACTTTTATAAGCTCTAGCTTTTGAAAGCACTTTCAAGAAACAGTTCACAGAGTAAACACGACATTTAGCAATTCTTCCCCCCACCACTCCCAGTGCCTACTGAAATACAAACAAAATGTAAACAGTTCCCAGCAAAGTCAGAAGTTGGACAAACTCTACTGCAAGAATGACATGTTTTTTCAGGCTTCTGCTTTCTTCCCACCCTCTGCTACGAAGGTGCTGGAGCTTGTACAACACAGCTGGCATCTCTGGCCTTGCTCAGCCAGCTCCCAGCCAAGCCAATGGCCGGCTGGGCTGCAGATGATACGCAGTCCCAACTGCAGCCAAACGCGTCGCCCACTCACAATCACAGCTTTCCCCTTCTGGACAGGCAACATACGATTGTCACGGGATTGTCAGAGATGGAGTGCCTGACAAAGCATTATTGGATAAACCACTGGACACCACCTCTCAAATTTAAAGGGTGGCGACTATTTAAATAGTCAGCAAAGCATAAAGAGTAATTCAAATAAAAGAGAATCTCTTGGGATTTTAATGCCAAACCATATTGTCTGAATTCAGAGTCTCGATGGCCTAGAGTCACTAGGCACAATAACAGCCTGATGACTGTAAAATCTACTAAAGACCGCAGACACGTATGTCGTGAGAATCACTTCCCTTCCCCAACTGCAATAGGAGGGATAAAGAACAAAGGCTATTTTGTGCTCAAGCCTATTGAAGATGAGAAGGCTCCGGGGAGACCTTATAGCAGCCTTCCAATATCTGAAGGGAGCTACAGGAGAGCTGGGGAGGGACTCTTTGTCAGAGAGTGCAGTGACAGGACAAGAGGGAATGGTTTTAAATTGGAAGAGGGGAGATTTAGATTAGATACCAGAAAGAAATTCTTTAGTGTGAGGGTGGTGAAGCACTGGAACAGGTTGCCCAGAGAAGCTGTGGCTGCCCCATCCCTGGAGGGGTTCAAGGCCAGGCTGGATGGGGCTTGGAGCAACCTGCTCTGGTGGGAGGTGTCCCAGCCCATGGCAAGGGGATCGGAACTCAATGATCTTTAAGATCCCTTCCCATTCTAACCATTCTATAATTCTATGACTCGACACCGACCCGCCCCGCAAGGCCGAGCTGGGAGCGGGGGGAGGCCGCTCGGTGCCCCGCCGCAGCGTCCCCCCGCTCCCAGCTCGGCCTTGCGGGGCGGCACCGCCCGGGGCCCGACCACAGACAAAGCCCAGCCCGCCCTGCACTCCCCTGCCTCCCCGAGCCCCGCCGGGCCCCGCCAGCCCCTCGGCGGCACTCCCCAGGCCCGGCGCCTCAGGGGGCTCCGAGAGCGGGGATAGGCGGCGCCCGGCCCGCAGCGAGTCCCCGCCGCAGCACAAAGGCTCGCCCCCGGTAAAGGGGAGCCCTCCCCCGGTAAAGCGAAGCTTCACCCCCCCCGGTGAAGGGAAAAGCCCCGCCGCCGCCCCTCACCTTCCAGCCCCTCCATGGCGCTCCCCGACCACCGGCCCCGCCGCCGCTGCTGTGGCAACGCCGCCACCTCCCGCCCCGCCAATAACGGCCGCTCCCATTGGCTGGGCGGCGCGAGCGGGCGGGTCCCTCACGGCCACAGCCCCTCACGGCCACAGCCCCTCACGGCCACAGCCCCGGGGCGGGCGGAGGGGCCTACCCCCGGGACACCGCCTGTCTACCGGCCCCATCGGCCTCAGAGCCACGACCCCCGGCTCCCCACCGACCCCGAGGCGAGGGCCCGACCCCGCCAGGCACGTGTGGTGCCGCCCGCCCTCCTCCTCCTCTGTTTGTTTCCTGAGGGTGTGGGGCACCGCGTCTGAGCATCTTTCCTGGAAATAAACGGCCTTAGCCCGACTCCGGGACAGTCTGGCGTGTCGTAGAGTCCGTACACTGACCTTATCGATGATCAGGATCTTCTTCCAAGAGCAGCGGAGTCACAGGCCGATATGGGGTTGGAAGAGACCTGTGGGGACCCCCCAGTCCAACCCCCTGCCAGAGCAGGGCCACCCAGAGCAGGTCCCACAGGAACGTGTCCAGGTGGGCTTGAATGTCTCCAGAGAAGGAGACCCCACCACCTCTCTGGGCAGCCTCTGCCAGGGCTCTGCCACCCTCACAGCAAAGAAGGTTTTCCTCATGTTGAGATGGAACTTCCCCTGTTCCAGTTTGTGCCCATCGCCCCCTGTCCTGTCCCCAGGCACTACTGAGAAGGGTCCGGACCTCATCCTCTTGCCACCCACCTTTAGCTATTGCTCGGCATCGATGAGATCCCCTCCCAGTCTGCTCTTCTCCAGCTGAACAGCCCCAGGTCCCTCAGCCTGTCCTCAGCACAGAGATGCTCCAGTCCCTCATCATCCTGGAGAAGAGGAGGCTCCGGAGGCAGCCTTCCAGTACCTGAGGGGGCCTACAGGAAGGCTGGGGAGAACCTGTTTCCAAAGGCCTCCAGTGACAGGACTATGGGCAGTGGCTTTAAATTAGGAGATGGCAGATTTAGACTGGAGATTAGGAGAAAGTTCTTCACTGTGAGGGTGGTGGAGCACTGGAACAGGTTGCCCAGGGAGGTGGTTGAGGCCCCATCCCTGGAGATATTCAAGGTGAGGCTCGACGAGGCCCTGGGCAACCTGGTCTAGGTGGGGGTGTCCCTGCTGACTGCGGGGGGGGCGGACTAGATGGCCTTTGGAGGTCCCTTCTGGCCTGGACCATTCTATGATTCTGTGATTCTGTGATCATCCCATCTCCGCTGTCCCCTCTCCAGCAGTTCCGTGTCCTTCTGGAACTGGAAGGCTCAGAACTGGACACAGGACTCCAAATGTGGCCTCACCAGGGGGAGGACAACCTCCCTCGGCTTGTGGCCACGCTCTTCTTAATGCCCCACGGGAGACCATTGGCCGCCTTGGCCAGCAGGACACATTGCTGGCTCACGGGCAGCTTGCTGTCCACCAGGAGCTCCAGGTCCCCCTCTCCACTTGTGTGTGAAGGCCAAAGTAAAGCAAGGAAGTGGAAACAACCCTGCTGTTGTGAGAGCAACAGAGGCTCAGCCCCAGGGAGACACGGGCAGCAGCCGAGGTGGTGCCAGGGCCCATTGCCCCCAGCACCCACAAGCCCAACCGAGGGCTGCTGGGGTGCAGCCAGGGGAGGCTGGAACTGCCCCCTTGCTTGCAGGGGGGTAGGGACAGCCACAGGAAAAACACAAAAATTGGTTTTCAGGTTCGTGTCCTGAAAATAAGTGCAGGCAATGGATTCCTACCCCTGTTTTCCCCTCCTGCTGTTTTCTTAAAAGAGAGAGATGCTAATACTAAATGAATCCGTGAGGGTATCTCCTGGACAGGATAACATTTGAGGAACGGGTGTGTTTGGAAAGCAGCACTACTAAATTGCTGCTGACTAATGAATGTGAATAATGCTTGATAAGTATTGAAATTCTTCTGTTCCTTTTACAAGAGCTCTTCACATTTTTAGCAACAAAAGCATTTCAAGATTTTTTTCTTAAAGGCATTTTAGAATTCTTAAGATCTTTTCTTTATCTTTCTTGTGGCAATATTCTATGAGCAACTACTAAAGCTTTTCTGTGTAAACTACGATGTCATAGAAATTACCACTGTCTTTAAAGACACATGCAAGTCATTTCTCTTCTTATTCTAGACAAGTTGATACAGAGTTGCTTGTCCATATAACCACAGTTACTGTCCCAGCCATGGTGCATCTGGGAATGCAACGCAAAGAAAGCAAACCCAGTACATAAAACCTCATTAAATCGGAGGTTATGATCAAGCCATTCCCTCTTAGAACAAGAGGGAACGGGTTCAACCTGCAACAGGGTAGGTTTAGACTGGATATTAGGAAAAAAATCTTCACAGAAAGAGTGGTCAGACACTGGAACAGGCTGCCCAGGGAGGTGGTGGAGTCACCATCCCTGGATGTGGTTTAAGAGTCGTTTAGACGTGGGGTTGGGAGATATGGTGTTGGGGAGATCTTTGTAGAGTAGGGTTGATGGTTGGACTCGATGATCCCAAGGGTCTTTTCCAACCTGAATGATTCTATGATTCTATTATGTTGTCTTCTCTGCATTCCCTTAGCACGGGACAAATACACCCAGATGCTGCATGCCAAACAGCTGCATGCAAACCAGGATTAATACATGATTAAAATGATGCTCTGAGACCAAATGCTTGAATATATATGGTAATTTTAACTGCAATTTTTCTAGGTAGTTTAGAACCATACTAAAAATAAGTTTCAGGTTTTCCTTTGTTCTATAGAGCTTATGCTTATAAAATTACAGGCCATGCCAGAAGGAACCAGTTCTCCACCATGTTGCAGAGTCCTGGGCTTTGCAAATTATCCATTAAATCTTTGAGGTGAAACCCAAAGGAGCCCGTAGCTTGCAAGCATTTGCTGGGGAACTGGCCATTAGGGCTGCGTGTCAGAAACACACTTCCTCGTGTGCTATTTCTGCTCTTGGACTGCGAACTCAGCAACAGAGCCCTGGGGTAATTTCACCTCTCAGCAGGCAGATCCTTTGTAATGAGAACATAAACAGAATTCTTATCTTGTCTTCTCAATGTAGTGAAGGGTTTCAGATTAGAGGAGCAATATTTTTTGTTGTTGTTCGGTTTGTTGTCTCTCTTTAAAATTAGTGGTTATTTTTGTTAAAAACAGGGGCAGGAGGTAACTTCAGCTCACCCGTCTTTAGGCGTCTATGATGTGGTGCTCACCCTTGAGCTACCCATCAAAGGAGGTAACTTCAGCTCACCCGTCTTTAGGTGTGTCCGATGTGGTGCTCACCCTGGAGCTACCCATCAGGTGTCCCCTACAGAGCCTGTCTGCAGGTGATACAGTCTGTGGGACTGAGGGGGTGATCTGCTGCAAGTGGATTAGACCAGGAAAGAGTCAGCACCCCCATTGGAGCAGTCAGATCCTACTCTAGCTTCCCTCAGACTGGATCTTGTCCTGAAAACAGACTTAATGCTTAGTTTTGCTCTGCAAAAGTGTCACTGACTGACTTTGGCACCCCGTTAGTCATCTGAGAAGTGAAAGAAAGACCAACTGGCTGCTAGAATGAATGGGCAAGTGGCCAGTCTGCTGCCAAGATAGAAGGTTCTCCTGGCTCTGGTGGGTGAACGCTCCTGTGTGGCTGTGCATATGGACAGCATGCCTTAAAAGAGTCCCAGTGCTGAAAAGTACCTGCCTTTTAATTGTGGTTTCCACGTGGGGAACGGAGGACCACCCCTCTGTTACCACAGCCACCGTGCCACGTGAATCCCTTTATTAACTTACCTGATCTCCATACTTGTCTTCATTTTGCTGTCACCTACCGCTCCAAGCACAAGTCTATTTTGCAATGACAGTCCTATAGTATTTGGGATTTCCCCCCCCCAATTCTATGCCAAATTTATGAATTACTAGTTTGTGCCAACATTGGTTTACAGCTTCAATATTGTCCTTAGTGTTTCTGATGTATTTCAGGCAATTAGCACCCATTCTGTCTCAGCAGTTGCCTTGTTAGCCTAAACAAAGCAGAGCTCCTCTAAACTACCCTCAGAAACTCCACTGCCCATTTCCATAGTCCCCGTGGCACCCTTTGTGCCTCATCCACCTCAGTTCATATTTCATACATGACCAAAATCTGAAGCTGCCCCTCAGATGGGATCTCGCTGCATTGCTTGGAGTCCTTTGCCTCTGCCGGGACTATTTCTGCCGCTGCCTCTTAGGTTACCTCTGGTATGCTATGGGAGGCACCACGGATATATTTAGCTCCTTTTCCATATCAGTTGTTTCACAGAGGCAGCAACGACGAGAGGAATTTGTGCCTCTAAAGGGAAATACAATCTGAACACCTTCTGTTCAGAATCTTCAGTAACTCTGAGGCCAAGTAAATATGGCCCTAAATGCAAAAGTCACATCTTCCTTATTCACACTTATTTTAAAGAATTGAAACACAGAACTAACACAGGCACGACTGTGACCAGATTCCAGAGGGAATTCCGGAGGAGAGAGGCAAAAGGCAATCTGCAGTGAGCTCAGGCATTAGCTGGAGTGTAGAGGCCACCTCAGGTTCAGACAGTTTCCAGAAAGACTCAGGTCCCTCTCTGCTGGCCAGCAAGGAGGCGGTGTCTCTCTTACAGTTGGTGAGAAAGAGGAGTCTGCCCAGGGATGAGTGAGGAGTTTGTGAGCATCACACCCTCTTTCCCTGGGTGTGATGCTCGTGACCAGCAGATCCTGCCTTGTGCCTGGTCACCCAACAAACTCCAGCCATCTCCCACCTGTAGGCCCTGCTTGTCACCCAGCTCCTCATGTGACAGCCACACCTGGATCCTCTGAAAGGCAGGTATTGATCACAGTACGTTGCTCTGGATCTTTGCAAAGCTGTGCAAATCCTGCATTTGGGGCAGAAGTGTCAGGGAAGGACCAAGTCCTGTAAAATGATCAGAATTTCATTATAATTTCAAATGCTTCTCACCATTTGAGTTCCTGTCACAATGACTAAAGTCCTTACAAAAAATCAAAACCTGTTCACTGTCTTTCATGTTA